TAGAAGCTGAAACACTGCTTTTATTTTTATATCCTTTCCAAGTGTTCTGCTTTCTGTCCTTGTGTGCCCCCTGCAGGTCAGAGCAGTGGCAGCAACTGAGTCGTGCAGAGAGGGACAAGATGGGGCTCGTTGTTCGTGATGTCGGGGAGTTTTGGTACTTCTGATTTTTATTATTTGAAGAACAAAAAGTCATGTGGGTTAGCTGGTTTCTGCCTCACATTTTATTCTTTTCCTTTTCCCTCAGGATGGATTTCGAGGACTTCTGTCAACACTTTACAGACGTGGTGGTGTGCAGACTGGTGGAGAGGACTCTGCTGTGGCCGAGATCTCGCTGGAGAGAAGTGAGCTGCTACAGGGAGTGGGTTCTACCTCCCCCCACCCATGGAGCACCTCCACCCACTGTGCTCCAGAGTAACCCTACACTTACCCTGAGTAAGAGCAGCAACGGGCCTGGAGGGACTAAGCAGCGTGGGAACAGAAAGGATGATCGACTAGGTGAGAGTCAACAGGAAGGAAGGAAAAGTGGAAGAAGCGAGCCTGATGTGAACAAAGTGACAGCAGAAAAGGGTGGTGGGAAGGTGAATGGAGTATGGAAGGTGGAGTTGGATAAGAGGAGCCGGTGTGGTGGATGTATCAATCACAGGGACACCTTCCTGCACAATCCACAGGTAAATATAAGATTGAAACCAGGGTTTGCATCAGCACATGAATGCTAATAATGACTTTTCATTCTTATTAGTTCATGTTTGAGGTGCGAGCCAAAGAGGAGGAGGTGCTGATTTGTCTGCAGCAGGAGGACAGGAGGATGTGGAGGAAAAATGGAAAAGGAGAAAACCTGCCTATTGGCTTTGAGGTGTTGAAGGTGAGCCGGGCCACTGAGCAACCTCACGTTTTTTGAATCATAAAAAAAATATTTCAGTCCTTCCTCATCATCTGCAGGTGGAGGTGAACCGCTGCAGTCGGGTGTAGTGCGTGGTGGAGCAGGCGGCCAGCTCCATCTACATGGATTCCCGGAGTGTGACACTGAGGGGAACTCTGACTCTGGGACGTTATGTTGTGCTGCCCACCACCTTCCTGCTTCGCCTCTTCTCCCACTCTCGTATCAGACTCAGGTGAAATGCTGGTCAGGAAAGAAGGGTTAGAAATAGCTTTGAACGTACTGAAAAGGTACGGA